ACGTTTTGAGCATCCAAAACGCGTCCAACACTTCAAGTTAGCTGCTTGTGCTCTTTCAGGTCAGACTCGTTCGGACTGCCGGCAAGTGCCTCTTTTGTTTTCCTCTGCCGGTCTCTGTTTAATGGCGGATGAAATAAATAAAGCGGCGGAACTTTATTTACTTTGAGCAAGCGAACGTCGTAGTCACAAGATAATTAATCCACCAGATGATTCAGAGGCGATCTGTTTGGCGACTTTTACTCCAGGAGCTGCGAGGCTTTCAAGCTACGCCGAACTCTACTGAACCAGCAGCTGCTGACGTCATTACGCTGTTGCGCAATGCTGCGTTTAGGACAAGCATGGAAAATTTCCCACTCTTACGCCAATATGGTCACAATGATGCGTTTAGGTACTGAAACATGGTACCGTTTGATATTACGTGAATAGGTTCTCGGTAGTACTGACAGAATTCGGTCGGTACTTAAAAAAGTATCGAATTCGGTACCCATCCCTAGATACAAAGACTGCCTTATCCAGTGTTTGTCAAGTTTTTAAAGTGCCTGTGACATGCATATCCATGAAATACAAAAAGTAGAAGAAATATATTTATGTTTAAGAAACTTGGCATAATACATCTGATTTTACCCATTATGTCACATATTTGGCTTATTTTTGAATTTGGCTCAGCCAAAGTGAAACAGGAAGTGACATCAAGGGGAACTCTGAGAAAGAAAACTACCTGGTTTTGTTYATTAAAACAAAATTAACATAGTAGCMATTCTCTGTTTGCATTCAGACATTCCCCTTTGACATCACTTCCTGTCACTGAACATGCAAATATTTCAAYAACTGTTCATCTCAGTGGCGTGAAATCTTTTTTGCAGTATGTTAACAATGTTATCTTTCCAAAAATACATTCATATTGATTACAAAATATTGATGTCACAGGCACTTTAAGAGTGCAACAGACAAGAAGGCTGGTAAAGTTGTAGAAAATAACTTGGGTCATCAGTTTTCTTGTTCTTCCTACAAAAAGGAGGGAAAACCATAGAAACTTCTGGACACAGTAGGAGCTGCTGTTGGTTTTAGAAAGAGGCCCCGTATGGCGTCGTAATATCATGGCTGCTTTGATCCGCGTTCATTTGCTCTGCCGGGCAAAGAACACAGTTAACAGTTGAACGGGCTCGAAAAAAGGCCCAGCACCGTCGAGGATTGTTGGTTTTTGCTCGCTGCCGAAATCTGCTCTGACAAGCAAGTTGCTGTTGCAGATGGGCCAGAAGAGGAGCGAGCAAAGGGGGTGGAGGTCGGATGTAGCCGAGCTTTAATTATAGGTTTAATCCTGAAACGTGTTTTCAGCCAGAATTGGTTAAAAAAATTTCATTTTTTTCCTATAATTTTGCCATGAAAATGAAGCAGCTAAAAGCACGAGCAGTTTAGTGTTCCTTCCCCTCGGAAACTTGAATTCTGTTCTAATTCGAGTTCCAGTTTTAAGCAAAACTTTTGTTTTTTTAAGCTCCAAAGAGTGCGGTCACACCAGAGGCTAATAAGTGAACAGCATGCGATTAGCTAAGAGGAGCGACGTGTCACACAGCTAATTTAAAAGCGGAGGCAGTGAAAGGGATTATCCCAGGGGTCGGAGTTCAACCTAAAGCTTGCAAAACATGCTCTCTGCTCAGACCCACATTGTTTCAAATCACAATTCTTTCTTTCWTATCACCGTTTTCACCACAAAAGCTTTTATCAACACGAGCTGTGGAGAACTAAAAATTAAACAGCGTCCTCGTCTGCAGCCTGTGATCACTTGTTGCTTTTAGTAACTTTTTGCGCTTTGTAATGATGTGTGTTAACAGGGGGTTAATAATATCTATAACAAGCACTTTAAAATGGTCTAGCAGGAAATCGCTTCTCAACAGGTTCCAGACCCTCTGTATGAAGCAAAGCGTAGAGCAAGGGGCTGGTTTTTACCGGGCTAGCATGTTGTGAAGAACTCTCAGCTACAACCACACCAACAATATCTGTCGATTTGACGAAATTGAAGCCATGTTGTGGTATCTGGTGTCAGTTGGCTCTGGCAGCCCCAGACATTGATCACTTGTAGAGGCACAACCAATGAACATTTCCTGAAAGTTTCATTACAATACGGTTTATGAGATTTTTTTTTTACTCCAAAGCTATCAAATTGACTTGAGTTGCAGTTGTTTTTATGTTTTTGAATATCGATTGTTTGTAGCAACCATCTTGAATCAAGCTGACTGTAGAAGGTGTTGTAAGATTTACACTGTATGATAACTTTCTGCAAGTTCCAATTATTTGCTAATTATATTAGAGATGGACAATAATTCAATAACAAAATATATTGTGAGAGACTCAATATCAGTGGAAAATTTGTCCAATAGAATGTTAAAGGGGCAATATCATGTAAAATCAACTTTTTTGAGTTTTATATCATGTTATAATGTCATACTCTCATAAAAAAACATGCCCAAAGCCTTGCTCTGACTCATTCATGCATGCTTGAGATATCCTGCAGCGTTTTTAGGAAGCCATGCTGAGGAGCAACACGACAGGTGGGGACCAGAAACGCCTTTTAGTACCAGAAACGCCTCTGGGACGTGTCTTTAAGCCGAACTTCCTCATGGCAGAGCACACCCACTCCCCCCCTCCTCCCCACACACC